AGCTCTACTAAATGCTGGCCATTTTGAAAATACAAATTTAAAATAGTTTTCATGTAAACCATAAGTAAAATAATAACGCTTTTTAAATACTGTTTCTATGAACCAGTTCGATTTTGTATATTTGATYAAGCCTTAATAGACGTCACMCTCWTTAGCATATTGGAAGTATAAACCTTCATAACTTAGAAACGCATCACTCAAATCAAGAAATATTTTACCATTCAACTATTTACTTCATGTAGAATCAGTACTGGAAGTGTTGTCGAAGGGTTCATTTGCACTTTAATTTTAGAAATAACAAAACTTCTCGACAATGAACTCAAATCAATTAGCTTCCTCCCACCTGCACGTCACTTTGAAAACGATTCAAAATTAATGAAAACAACGTCAACGTCAAAACTCAATTTCCTCAGCTCGTTCATATCAATTAGCCCTTAACCAATCAACTTTTATAAAGGTCGTTCTTTCCTTCTCCGATAGTTCCAATTTATTGTTTTATGAGCCCGCAAACAGCACAGTTAATCGGGGCAAACGCATCTCTTTCCCTGTACTCCAGATTATATTATGATTATATTATATTAAATGCTAAAGCAATGCTTTTGGTGAAGCTAGAAAATAAACATTCAGCAAGCCATAGACAAAGCAATAAACATAACTGAGAAAATGCTTTGTGTCAAAAGGTGAAATTATAAGGCTTTTGCGCTAGAAGTTGCAGTGTTCATTGAATATTAACTGCGCTTTAAGTTGCGCAAGAAAGAAAGAAAGAAAGAAAGAAAGAAAGAAAGAACGAAAGAGGTGAAAAAATCAGCCATTTTTGTTGCATTTTGTTCCTTGCTTGCTATTACTTCTATATTCCGTGGTTTGGGGGAAAAAATCAATGATGAATAGTGACGACGACGTTGACCAGTATTCCCATAATTAACAATTATATCCAAAATAAGTGTCTTGTTTTCGTCCACATATTGCCTTAGGGATAATTTCAGCAGTTAATGCCTGTATCCCGCGTTATTCTTGGCAGGCATGCAAATACACACAAGCTATCACTGAGATTATAGATTACTACAAAGAAGATAACATAACAATTAAACTTATTAGAACTGTCACGAAAATGCCGCAAGCAATCATTGAAACGAAGGTTTTGTATGTATATACATAGAACACATATCTCCTGTATTTCGATAAAGCGTTGTCATCGCCAAAGGCGGAGAGGCGAAAAGCGATAGGAGAATCCAAGAATAACTGGAATGACTTGAGTTTCTTCTTATTCTCGTCAAGAACATGGACCTTAGTGTTGAGAGAATGGCCTGTCGCCTATCGCCTTTGGCGATGACAACGTTGATTGAA